GCGGTGAGTGCGTCGCGTGTTCTCGTCCTGTTGATTGGATGTGCTGTTATTCTGCCCACTTTTCTCTCTACACTCGTATTTCGTGAGTGTGTCATAGAAGAGAAGTTTAGAATTGGGAAGAAACGCGTAAACAGAGCTGTGCGCCACGTGCCACGGGGCCCTTTGTGCTGTGCCGCGTGCCGCGTGCCGCGAGGCACTAGGTGAGCGCCAAGCGGTGGGCCCTCGCGGACACTGGACGGCAGATGTCCTTACGCACTGAAGCTGGGAGGATGGACGTTCAGGGGTGTGTGCATACCCCGGTGGCCTGGGGGTCACTGGCTGTGCTGAAAGTGGCATCTGTCAGGGTCCCCACATGCCAGCTCTCTCCTGCCACGCTTGTGTGTAACACGCCTGGGAGGCTGTCTCACGAGACACACCTCTGGCGACTGCCAGGGTGATGGCATGCGGGTCATCGGTCACTGCAGCCTTCCTTCGCTGGGACTTGCCTGGTGTCAGGCCAGGCTCCACAGGACAAGGGTGGATGAAACGAACTTCCCGTCTGGAGCGTTACTCGGGCAGTTGGGCGCCAGGTACCCGGAGTTACCCAGCGACGTGGCCATGTGGCAGGCTGCGGCTGAGGCGGGCCGTGGGGCGCCGGGGAGGGCGCTGAGCCTGCGGTGGGGGCGAAGTTCCAGGCAGTGGTTAAGCTGGGCCTTGAAACTGAGAGGCTGGTAGAGGGAAGGGGAGCCGGGTGGAACCGCCCACCCGCCATGGCCCGAGCACGGGGGGTGACGCGAAGGGCACAGGACAGGCGCACAGGACAGGCGCCGCCATCGGTTCCTGGCGGGAGTTCCGTGGGGTCTGTTCCCGTGACGTCAGGCGCCATCTCCGTGAGCCGCGTCCCCTGGCGTCCCGCACGCAGCCCGGGCCACTCACTCGCCAGCGTTTGTCTTTCTGAGAAGCCAGCGTTCAGTTCCAAGTTCGGGCGCACGGCTCGCCCTGCCGCCGGGTCACGTGACCTGCGTGTCTCCGCGGAGCCCGCACACGGTGCACTCGTGCCGCACCGCTGACCGAGGGATCACTCGGCTTGAGCTGCTCCCCACTCCGTTCCCTCGTTCGGAGCCTCGTTAGCGTTCGGGGGGCTCCGGGCTCAGGGAAGACTCTCACGGGACGAACGTGGTTTTCGGTCTCAAGGGCCTGACTGCGTTGGGTTCGTGTTCAAACAGAGGAGGTGGTCTCGTCTGTTTACCTCCGGAACGTAACGTTTGTGTTTGTTTTCTAACTTCTGCAACACTTTGCTTTCTTAAGGTGAGAAAACAGATAATAATCCAAAGAGGAACAGCGCACTCCTTGATAACATCCCTCCTCGCCCAGGGAAGGCAAAACACATTCACCCAGGAAACAGAGTTTGAGTAAATGATGCGTAAGCCTTATAGATGGAGCTATTCCAATATTTTACTGATACAAAGACTTTTTGAACCAAATTCTCAAATTATGTCAGCATTCTCATGTGATACAAAAGGCATGATTGGAGTACTTTAATGAGACACATAATCTCAATTTTTCAGATTCATAAGGTTCATAAAGATATTGAATTTGTGCAGAGCTCATAAATCACATGGTTTCATGCTCTTGTTTTTTCTAAGTAAATTCTGGCTTCGATTGATTCTAAAGAAAATATCGATATTGCCTAATGCAGGGGTACACAGACTGAATCTAATTACCTCACATACGGTCTCCGGCTTTAGAAAAGATTTACTACTTGAAAATGACAAAAATATCTTCATTCCCACATTATACACGTATAAAAAGAAACACATAATCTCTCTCTTTTTAATAGACCTGTGTGTTTTTATCCACACAGATGTGTAACATCATAGCCGCCGTGGCAGAGACTGAACTCTCCGTAAGCTCGTTGGGCGAGGTCTGAGGCATGTCACCATTCAGACAAAAATGAGAACAGGTGATTGGCAGATCACTCAGTCTGGCATCTGCCCGCAGAGGGCAGCGATGCCTGGGAGGAAGCGACGCCGGAGCAGCCGCTTCTCCTGGGGGACCCCGAGCCCCATGTGGTCTGTGAGGGGTGACGGCTGAAACTGATCCGGCCCCTCCAGCTCCCAACAGGCAGAAATCGGAATGTGCCCAGACGCCGTCACCCCCAGCTGACGGGAGACCACAGCCGCCTTTCCCTCCCTATCCCAGTCTGGACGGAGAGACGGGCTGGGACAGACAGATCGGGAGATGAAGGGTAGGTGAGTGGATGATATAGATGGAAGATAGACAGAGGATAGGTAGAGAGACGATAGGTGGACAGTAGGTACATGATAAATACATAGGTAGGTAGGTAGATCGATAGATCAACAGGTAGATAGAGACGCTGAATGGGTAGGTGATCAACAGTGGATAGAAAGAAAGAAGATGGACAGGCAGATAGATTGACAGACAGTGATGACAGATAGATCTAGGCCGGTAACCACTGTGAGTTTTTCAGGAGTCGGAAGTGGTTCGGGGAGGTGGTTCTCAGCCCTGATGCACACTAGAACCACCTGGCACCCCCAGAGATTTATGTCGGGGCCTTTAGTCCAGCACCACTGCTCCCTAACTCCAGACCGCTGACTCAGTGGGGCTCCGAGTCGCAGGAATGGGAAACAGAGCCCCTAGTCGTCAAGGGTGTGGCTCGTGGGCACAGCGTGCACGGCAGTCGTGGGCTGTGCAAGTCTAGACCCTTCCATGAGGGCCTGGTCGAGCCGTCATGTGTAATGGAGACACGCGGGTCCAGTTCTGTGGTTTTGTGGGACAGACAACACCAAAGTCTTGGATAGTTACCTTGTGGTGTGGTTTCTTGACCATGGTCAGGCATTCAGACCCTACCAGAGCCCATCACCAATTAAGAGCTTTTCCAAAAAGAGCATTTCTTGCAGAGGCTGACGTGGCTTTATAAGAAAAAGGGTTTGCATACAATTTTCCGGTCAGCCGCCTCCGGGAGCTTCCTAGAGACACACGTCTGCCAAGGACGCTCCCAGTGGCAGACGGCTCGTGTGACGCCGGCGTGGGTACCCCGCAGGGCCTTCTCGGGACCCAGAGGGACTGCCTGGTGGTGGTCGCTTTCTTAGCTGTTGGGAGTGTGACCCGCAGCGCCTCGTCCTTCAGCCTGGAGGAAGTGCCTGCCGTGCCCCGGGCCGCTAGGTGACGAAAACTCCCGAGGCTTCGGGCACGGGCGTGTTGACGGGCTCGTCTCTCTCCCGGACACATCCGTGTTGCATCGAGTCACCTAGATGTTGCTTCATCTCCCTCCAGAGCTGAATAAACGTGATGTCACCACTGCCCCATGCGGCCGGGACGCTCTGTGGGTGGGACGTGCCCCTTTCCCGGAGACCAGAGAGTCGGGAGGAGGTGGCTGCGGGTGGCTGCGGGCAGCTGCGGGCGGTGAAGATGCGTGTGGCCGGCGGCACGCGGTGTCTGCCGACAGCCAGCCACAGAGGGCGGCGTCGCCCATCAGCCGCTGTACGCTGGGCCCCGGGTACACCCCGGGCAGGGGGACGCGTCAGGGCAGCGGCCGTAACCGGGTCCCCCGTGTACATGCACGGGGAAGCCTGGCCGCACCGCTAATTCACTCGCCTCTGCCGCCGGAACAGGTGCACGATCGGGGGCATGGCGAACACTGC